GCAAAACTGGTCTGTCAAAACCTTCAGACAACTTCCTTAAAAAGTACCCAGTTCCTTGTCCCTCTCCTTTCCCTATCTCAATGCTGCTGCCTGGAACTCAGGTGAGATGGCTGGAGCCATTTGGAAAATGAGGAGGGGGAAGGCAATCAGAGTGGTGAAGCAGGGAGCCGAGAGGAAACAGGTCCCTGAGGACCAGGATGTAGACACACCAGTTCTGGACTTCCCACCCCTAGGAATGTGGAGGTGAGACAGAAATATACTTCTAGCTCATGTGAGCCACAACTGGCTTTTGTTCATTTTTACAGCAAAACCCAATCTTAATTTATGCAATAATCACAATTTCTGGACAGAAAATACTTAGACAGCCGGGTGCCAGTGGCTCACGCCTATAATCCTAGCTACTCAGGAGGCTGAGATCTGAGGATCGGTTCAAAACCAAGCCTGGTTCAAAGCCAAGCCTTGCAAGAAACTCCGTGAGGCTCTTATCTCCAATAAACCACTCAGAAAACCAGAAGTGGCACTGTGGCTCAAGTGGTAGAGCACTAGCCTTGAGCTGAAGAGCTGAGGAACAGGCAGCGCCCAGGCCCAGAGTTCAGGCCCCACGACTGACCAAAAAAAAAAAAAAAAAACCACAAAAGTATCTATTAATAAAAGCTCCACAAATGGTGACAGTGAAGCAAGCCCTTCTACCATCTTTACTTTTCTCTGGAATCCACAATCAAGAGATAAGGCTAATGACTAACCAGGCTAGAATGTGCCAAATGGCCTTGCCCTTCTAGCCAAAATTCAATTCTTTCTCCCATAAATCCAAAGTCCCATAAATCTCAAAGGCCTTTGAGAGTAGCAACTTTATTAAGTGAAACATCAGGAGCTACCTAAATTTTTCCTATTAAAATCTCTACCCTTTCAAGATACTGAACATTTAACTTCTAGATTCTATGAGCTACATTAATATCTTTCAAATACATTTTATACTTAAAGAAATCAGAGTAGGGGCTGGGAAGGTGGCTCAGTGGTAGAGCGCTTGCCTTGCATGCCTGAGGCCCTGGGTTCAATTCCTCAGCACCACATAAGCAAAAAGGAAAAAAAAAGCCGGAAGTGGCCCTGTGGCTCAAGTGGTAGAGCGCTAGCCTTGAGCTGAAGAGCTGAGGGACAGCACCCAGGCCCAGAGTTCAGGCCCCACGACTAGACCCCCCCCGCCAAAAAAGAAAATAATAAAAAAAAAAAAGAAAGAAATCAGAGTAGCCAGGCACTAGTGGCTCACACCTGTAATCCTAGCTACTCAGCAGGCTGAAGATTGCAGTTCAAAGCCAGCCAGGAAACACCATGAGACTCCTATTTCCAATAAACCACCAAAAAAACAGAAGTGGCGCTGTGGCTCAAGTGGTAGAGCGCTAGCCTTGAGCTGAAGAGCTGAGGGGCAGTGCCCAGGCCCAGAGTTCAAGCCCTATGTCCGACAAAAAAAAGAAAAAAGAAATCAGAGTAGATTTATTATTTATAACAAAAAATTGTGTAATCCAATATTAAAATTATTAACGTAAGTTGTTTGGTTTTAATCATTTGACTCTCCTTTAGATTGTTTAAATTCTTTTTTTGGGGGGGGGGATCCAGTCGTAGGGCCTGAACTCTGGGCCTGGGTGCTGTCCCTCAGCAATTCAGCTCAAGGTTAGTGCTCTAGCATTTGGGCCACAGTGCCACCTCTGGTTTTCTGGTGGTTAATTGGGATACGAGTGTCATGGACTTTCCTGCCCTGGCTGGCTTTGAACCACGATTCTGATATCTTAGCCTCCTGATTATCTAAGATTACAGGCGTGAGCCACCGGAGCCCAGCTAGGATACACAATTTTTTAAATTATTTTTATTAATATTATTATTTTTTGGTGGGTCATGGGCCTGAACTCGACCTGAGTGCTGTCCCTCAGCTCTTCAGTTCAAGGATAGTACTCTACCACTTGAGCCATAACACCACTTCCAGCTTTTTCGGCTTACGTGGTATTGAGGAATTGAACCTAGGGCCTCATTCCTTCAAGGCAAGCACTCTACCACTGAGCCAGCTTCAGTCCTAGATACACAATTTTTATGGCCCCATTAATTTCACTCTAGCAAAGTCCTCACATGCCTTCCACCCACCACTTCCTGTCAGACTGAAGAGCTACTCAGTCAGAATTTGACAGCCTTCTTTACTCCCTTCCTAAACTGAGCTCTACTATAGATCTAAATTTTCAGAGTTCTCTGTACGTTTCTAGAGTTGGTGAAAGCACAGGTTACTGTTATGTCTGTCTGATAAAAAGTAGCTTTTTAAATCTAAGCATGTCTCAAATATTGAATGATGACTAAAAAGGTATTCACTGGCTATCTGGTAAGTTGTACTACTCAGCTGACAACTCTAGTCTGTGGAGCTATAAGAGCTAACCATTCCCTTTACAATAGGGAAAAATGAATTCTGAGCACCAGCTTTAGTTAACTACATGTGACTACTTCTAAGCAACACTTCCGGTCCCACGTTCACTGTTTATTAAGTAGACTATTCATCGATCAGGTATCTAGTCAAACTATTATTCTGATGTTCAAGTTCAAAACAACTTACAAAGGCAGATTGCATATAGTAAGACCACACAGGAAGCTACTGTAATATAAATAAGCAAGTTTAGGTAGGAGAAAGGAACTATATTTATAACATTATTATGAAAGCCAGGCTTTATACTAAGTGCTTTATATACATAATTGTATTTGCTTGACATCAACTAACATAAAATGATCATGTAAGAATGTCAGCCTTGTTCAGAGCCATACAATTTGCTTGCTTTCATATAATATTTCTCTTAAAAAAATAAATAAATGAAAGTCGGGAATCTTACTCCAGTCCAGTTCTTGTACATTTTCATTGATTGCTATTCCACTAATTTTAAAGGACTACTTTTCTTCAAGGTCCTCTTTATGGTTTATGTCACAACCATGTAGCTAAGTAAAACTTTTCCTCAGAAATTCTTTTATTGTAAAGGGAATGATCAGCTGTCATAGCTCTACATACATACATAACAGAATGTTTAATCTAATGAAATAGAAACTAACAGCCAATACAAACACTTCTACATCAAATCATGGGTTCACCAGATACAATTGGGCTGTTCATTCAGAACAAAGCACTATTTAATAAAAAGTTTTCAGATTGCATCTCAACCAATGGCTGGGTGCAGTTGCATGCACTGATTATCCCAACTACAGAGAAAGCACAATGGCTGGCCAGTGAGTGGTATGTCCTTATCTCCAACTACATGGGGAAGCATTAGTAGGGGAATCAGAGCCAAGGCCAGTCCTGGCATAAAGTAAGACCCTACCTTGAAAACTACCACAGCAGAAAGGGCTGAAGGCATGGATAAAGTGGCAGGGCCTGCTTAACAAGTTCCAGGCCAAGTTCAAACACCAATGTGGAAAAAAGAAAAAAAGAAGAGAAAAAAGTTGCCTAACAGTCAAATCTTCAAATAGTTCCTTAGAAGAGCAACAAAATACTAATCAGGAAAAGCTTTGTCCAGAAAGAATTATAGTTTTGGAAGCTTCTACAAGCAATCCAACAGAATCAAGAAAAAAAGATGAGAGGCTGGGAATGTAGCTTAGCGATAGAGTGCTTGCCTAGCATGCATGAAGCTCTGGGTTCGATTCCTCACTACGATATAAACAGAAAAAGCTGGAAGTGGTGCTGTGGCTCAAGTGGTAGAGTGCTAGCCTTGAGCAAAAGAAAAAAAGATGAATAAAATTTAATTCCCTTTTAACTAAGAACCAACTCACAGTTTTAAGTATCAATACATCTTTTGCATACAATTGTATAAAGCAAACCAGTTATTACATTATAGATATCACAAATAGCCCTACAGAATAAAAGGAGAAAGTAATCTCAATGTTAAACAAACAGATTATTAGAATTAATAACCTTGGACTTAAAAAGTGCTGTATTTCAAACAAACAAGATGAAAGGGGAAAGACATGTCCTTGGCCTTGGAGAGAAACTGATAATAACAAAGATCCTAACTAATATATCTAACTAATATAAATAATCTTACACTCTTTTAGGGAATATTTTTAAATTTGCTGACTTACTCATTATAAATATATATGTATGGATTTATACATCTAATTAAACTAATAACTAAAACAGGCTTATTTCATCCTCATAATTGGGTGTTAGATATTGATTATAGATTCAGTCTGGCCAATAACCTTTGGAAATCGTCTTCCATTAGAAAGGGAATTGAGGGCTGAGAAGGTGGCTCAGTGGTAGAGCGCTTGCCTTGCATGCTTGAAGCCCTGGGTTCGATTCCTCAGCACCACAAAAGCAAAGAGAAAAAAGCCGGAAGTGGCGCTGTGGCTCAAGTGGTAGAGCGCTAGCCTTGAGCTGAAGAACTGAGGGACCCAGACCCAGAGTACAAGCCCCACAACTGGACCCAAAAAAAAAATTTTTTTTGGATAGAAAGGGAATTGACTTAGATTTGAAATCAACTTACATCCAGGCACATGTTATTAGATTACATTTGTTTTCTTTAAAAGTATTCTTTGTCCTCCAGAATTTCCTTAAGGTATTGATGAATTACACAATCTGCAGGCCAGTTTGTCCTTATTTGAAACAGTTCTCTGTAGTAGTTTTTGAGTTATTTTGACTTCTCTGACAGGAAATATACTTCTTGATTCAGATTCAACCTTTACTGAAGGCCTATTGACTATGAACCATGAGAGATAACTCCATCAGTCATTCAAATACTCAACTCTCTCAGCTATCCACAGAGTTCACTAAAATCAAGATTTGCTGAAAGAGTCAGAAAATCTTAGGCCTGAGACAGGAGACAAAAGGCAATGTGTACTCTTCTGCAAGATGGCAAAGCGGCAGGTTTTATTTTCTTGTTCTACGGCAAACTATTATCAACCAATAAGGAAAATATTCTCTAAATAACATTCAAATCTATCCACCTACAATTACATTTCAGTCTTAAGTCGAAGTTATCACTGACCTCTGCCTCTGCTGCCAACTGTCTCTTCTTTGCTATCAGCTGTTTTATGTCAAGTTGACCTAAGAGAAGAAAAATAAAGAGTTTTAAGTTGATGCATGATATAGTTACTTAGCAACACTACTTAAATCATAAAATTGAGAAACAAGCAAATATAAAAGCTGACCCTGCAAACTTCAGTAAAACCAAAAAATATTAAACCATCTCTAAAAATGTAAATGGAAACATACCTAAAAACACTAAGTATGAGAAAACAAAACTACTAAACATATACACAGTAATGACAAGTATTCAGTTGTGATGGTATAAGAAATGACATTTTCTAAATAGATTCTACTATTGAGATTAATAAGATATTGGGTAAAACTAAACATTAAAAAAAAAGTTTTAAAGCTGGGCACCAGTGGCTCACACCTAAAACCCTAGCTACTCAGGAAGCTGAGATCTGAGGATCAAGGTTCTAGACAATCCAGGCAGGAAAGTCTGCAAGACTCTTATCTTGTGTTTGCTTCGGCAGCCCATATACTAAAATTTGAACGATACAGAGAAGACTGGCATGAGCCGGGCGCTGGTGGCTCACGCCTGTAATCCTAGCTACTCAGGAGGCTGAGATCTGAGGATCACGGTTCAAAGCCAGCCTGGGCAGGAAAGTTCGTAAGACTTATCTCCAATAAACCGCTAGAAAACTGGAAGTGGTGCTGTGGCTCAAGCGGTAGAGCGCTCTCTTTGAGCTGAAGAGCACAGGGACAGCGCCCAAGCCCAGAGTTCAAGCCCCACAACTGACAAAAAAAAAAAAAAAAAGATTAGCATGGCCCCTGCACAAGGATGACACGCAAATTCGTGAAGCGTTCCATATTTTTTGGGATTGCATAAAATTGCAGAGCTTCTGCATGGCAAAGGACATAGCTAGCAAGCTCAATAGAAAGCTCACGGATTGGGAGATCTTCACTAGCCATACAACGGACAAAGGTCTCATATCTAAAATATATCTGGAACTCAAAAAATTAAATCCCCCAACAACAAATCTTCAAAGAAACAACTGCCCAATAAAAAAGTGGGCTAAAGACTTAAAGAGAAACTCCTCTGAAGAGGAAAGAAGGATGGCCAATAGACACATGAAGAAATGCTCAACCTCTCTAGCCATGAAAGAAATGTAAATCAAAACAACATTGAGATACCACCTCACCCCTGTTAGAATGATTATAATCAAGAACTACTTTCACAGTGTGGCACAACCGAAATGTCTAGAGCCTGACATGACTTTGGCATTTAAGGCCATCTGAGAGTCAAGGACCCCAAAGTCACATCATCAATAGACTGGACAGAAACATCAACAGAAAAAGCACAGTGAGGAAATGCATAGACTGTACTCTGTCTGGAGAAGACAAAACATTTCCTCTGGAAACATAACTTTCTAAATACCTTTTGCAACCTAAAGCCACAATATCTATGTTATCTGAAGAACCTTAAGACATACATTTTTAAAACAAAACCAAGTTGTATCCTGAGACTACAGTCAGATAAAAAATGGAAGTTCCTTCCAGATAGGTTATGTTATCAACCAAGGCCTACAAGAATTCCAACAGATAATGTTCCAAGAAAAAAGAAGGTCAGAGTTAAAAAAGCATAAAACCATAGAAAACAAGACAGCACAAATGGGAAACCATAAACAAAAGCCAATATGAGTTGTCATTTACAGGATGTAAAATACAAATGTTTAATATGGTAAATAAATAAATAAAAAGCAAAACTCAAAAATATAAAATAAGGAACAATAAACTAACTGGCCAAATATATTTTTAAAAATAACCAAGTCAAATTCTCAAATGTAATATAAAAATTAGAATTTCAAACTCAATGGATAGATGGATTAAACAAATCTGAAGAGATGGACACCGTAGTACACATCTATAATCCCCTACCTCAGAAGATTAAAAGTTCAAGACCAGTCTGGCCTATGTAGCAATACTCTACCTTTAAAAACTAAAAATAAAGAAATGTGTTGGGCATTGACACAAACCCAAGCTACTTGGGAGGTAGTAGTATTAGGATTGTGGTTTTAGGCCAACCCAGGCAAAGTTAGCAGGACCTTATCTTAAAAACAGGCAAGGAATGATGGTGCATGGCTGTAATCCAATTGATAACTTACTTATTCTTTCTGTTTACAAGCTTACTTATTCAAGAAAAACTCACATACGGACCCAGTATATATAAGGCATGGGTATGTACCTCAAACTCTTCGTTTAGGATCCAGGAAAAACATATAACCAGAAGATGACAATATCCACCAGAGACATGGGAGAATAGGGAGTCTGGTGCAGAAGTCAGTATTGGAGCTGTCGAATGCAGCTCAATGGTAGCACGCTTGCTTAGCATGCACACGGCCCTCGGTTTGATCTCTAGCACTGTAAAAGAAATTTGAGCCAACTCTCAAAGGATAAAGAAAAATGACAGTGAACCTATGCTGAAAAGATTCTTCTAGAAAAATAAATAGTATGAAGGCTTGCTGGGCTTTTGGAGACTAGCCTGGATCAAATGCCTACAAATACTAAACTCTCGTTGCTTTAAAATACTGTATTTAGGAACTGGAGGTGTGGCTAAAGTTGCAGAGCTACATCCATGAGTGAAAAAAGCCAGAGCACAGTGGCTCATGCCTGTCATCCTAACTACTCAAGAAGCTGAGACTTGAGGATTGAGGGTTGAAGCCAGTGAGGGCAGAAAAGTCCCTGTGAGACTCTTATCTCCAATTTACCACTCAAAAACTGAAAATGGAACTGTGGTTCAAATTGGTAAAGAGACCACCATGTGGGTTGGGCAGAAGAGCTTATTGGGAGAACCGAACTGCAGGCCTGCACCAGATGTAGGTGTGCAGAGTGAGAACTATTGGCAGAGAGAGAGTATATAGGGAAAGACAAGGAGGAAATGTGGCCACCGGGGCTACAGAAGTGACCACAGAGGATGAGGAAGTGACCTCAGAGCCTGGGGCCCTTTTGCTGACTCAGAGTCAGATGACTGACATTAAGGTGATTAACAGTTACAGGTGATTACTGGTTTCTGGTAGGTAGTTTCTGGTATGGCTACGTGCTGTCCTACGTGAAGAGGAATGAGGGAAGAGTGGGCAGGAACAGGAAGGAACTTTTCTCCCTCCGCTCCCACCTAACACTAGCCTTGAGCAAGAGCTCAGAGACAATCCCAGGCCGTGAGTTCAAGACTCATGACCCACCAAAAAAAAAAGAGCCAGAGCTTGCAGAAAAATAATGACCACACAAAAATAAGAAATAAAATATTCTACTTAATAGGATTTTTCCAAAGGGTCATTTTCATTTACTTACTTTCTGGTTTATAATAGCATTCTGGATCAATACTGTCCAACAGAAATATAAATCACATGTGTAATTTTACATTTTCTAGGACCCATATTAAAAAGAAGAGAAATAGCTGTAAGGAGCAAAGGGCATGTGAAGAAAAAAAAAACAAAAAGGTGCAAACAAGTCTTTGAAGTCTGATGTATATTTTACAATAGGGCACCTAGATTCAGTCAAACAAATATGAGGTGCGCAAACAGACCATTATACACTGCTACTCCTACTTACCCTCCCCAAGCAACTGAGATTACAGGAGTGAGCCCCTGCACCCCTACACATGACTTATAATTTGATATAGCTATGGTGGACACATTTTATTGCTTCATTGTTTCACTGTCCTTGCCAGAAACTAACTTCAGATTAGAGGCTAGAAATACAGCTAGGTGGTAGAGCACATGCTGGACATAGGTGAATCCTTGTGCTTAATCCCCTGCACCACAAAAAACAACAAGGAAGAAAAAGTCATTTTTATCAGAGTAGAGCAGCTTATTGATGGGTTTTCTAAACTGTGGCAACAAAGTAAGAAAAGAAACAAAGTATATTATAGCAACCCTCAGGAAAGCTGTTCCCATCTGAAGTCCTGAAGGAACAAAGAAGAATCCAGAGCACAGAATTTGCCAGGCAGGCCGAGGACTAAAGTGCTGAACACACCCACCTCGCTCTTCACCCCTGATCTCTAGGCGATGGCAGCCATAGGCCAAACACTGTAGGAAACCACAGAGGACTTAAGGTCAGCCTCCCCGGGCACAAAGTATAGAAAAGAGTAGAGAGAGTGACATGGTCTGTAATCTAATCCTGGCCACTGAGTCATGAGAAGTACGTCAGCGAACTCCTAGGAAAGGTACCATTGCTCCAAAGCAATAGGGAAAGTCAGTTTGCCTCCTGGAGCTGGGAACTATTTTCCTTCTTACCCACTCCGTGACATTATTTCAGTTTTTCCCTTTTACTACACCGATTTTCTGGACTTGCCTCGCCCCATACCAACACCAGCTATCTACTTTCGGATTCTACGTTTTTGGCAGTGCAAAAATAACTAAGAACACAAGCCAAACTGTTAAGTCTCAACCAGGCCCAAAATGAAAAGATGCAACCTTTGCCTTTGTCTTTTGATGAGTTTGGTGTTTTGTTTTTTAACATTCCTCACAACAGTGGTTTTAAGTCAGACTCTACTGGCTCTACTAGCTACTCAGGAGGCTAAGACCTGAAAGACAGAGGTTCAGAGCCAGCCTGGGCAGAAAAGGGATCTCCAATGAACCAGCTGGACTAGAGGCATGGCTGAAGTGGTAGTGTGCTAGCTGTGAGCAAGAAAGCCAAACTGAGAATATTAAGTACTGAGTTCAAGTCCCAATGCCAGAAACAAAGAAAAAACAACAGTGGTTCAAACTTTTTCATCTTCAAGTCCCAACCGGCTCTACCACAGGTGTTCATGAACTCAGGACCCTCCTGCCTCAGCCTTCCAAGAGCTGGGAGGACAGTCAAATGCCATAATGGTAAACTCTTCTACTGCTGCTTAAGTTTTCATTATATATTATCTTCTTTTCCAATGTTCTTGTGCAAGAAAAACGTGGTCTATTCTTTTCAAGATCCACTCTTCAGATAGTCTTCATTCTTCCCATAACCTTTAAGAATTTGTCCTAGGGCTGGGAATGTGGCTTAGTGGTAGAGTGCTTGCCTAGCATGCATGAAGTCCTGGGTTC